AATATTCTACAAATGTTATTATTATTATTTCGAATTGTAAACTATACTATTTCACATATATAAGGGATTAATTATAATAAATCTGAATCTAAGACGTCTACTAAGATTATTCATGCCATGACCCATGGTAACGTTACGTCACGAAGTTTTACCACGAACAATCAATATTTTGTTTAAATTCTCAATCTACCGCAATGACGAGCACTTATCTTATRCATTTATTATAGCCCTTCAAATCATGCAAAATGTTCCCAACGGTGTAGCAGTCCATTTGTGACTTTTATCTGAAATCACACGAAAGAAGATTACTTATTTTTAAAATGGAGGGTTACAAGACCGAACAGTTTGTGGATAAAATAGACGACAACCTCTTGTGTCCAATATGGTGAGTCGTGTCTAGTTTATCCCATAGTTTAGGGGATATCTCGGTTTAAAGTTCTAATTTCTCACTAAGCTGTATCATATTTTACTCCATTAGAAAATATAGTTAGTTTTCCAGTACAATGCCTATAAAATCTCTAAAATTTCTTCAATTTACACGATATCAGACGATCGAGATTAAATCTCAACCAGTTCGCTTGGCATTGACTTCACAATCAGTATTTTCATAAACGATTAAACTTTATAGTGGCAGGGATTATTACAAGGAAAATATAAGAGAATTAATTGTAATATCAAATGATATTTTATTTGTTTTACTTCTCAGAGTAGTGTAAGAATTGTTTTCTATTACTATTTAAGCGAAAACAAGTATTAGACTTCGAAGCAAATCATATGTTGACACTTAAAGCAGCATTTCTTGGAATCAGAAGCCGCAGGAAGCCCAAAGTCGGCTTCTGTGATGCTATGCAAATTTTGAACTTTTTTGTCTAATCATGAGCATTACATTGAATCATAACGTAAAGGTAAAAAGGTAAAAGTAAAGGGATGAATTTATATAGCGCAATTTCCAGGAGCTCAATGGCGCTTTACAAGATCAGTGGAGGACTTTACGGACTGCATAGACTCAAATCCCAAATGGCGCACGGTCAGTTAAAAACGAAGCATCTAGACTGAGCCAAATTAAAAAATTTGCAGTTTTTTTCTCATAAATTGATGATGCAAAATTTTCGCTATCCTGAATGTAAGAAGAAAAGAAAGACAGAACAAGTGAAAAAGTAAATATTTTGCATTGACACCTTATTATTTCCTTGCATTTGGCCCTGGACGCCTCTACTTCGTTTCGGTTATTATTCCCCAATATTCACTTAATTAACAATAATTAATTAATTAGTTAATTAACAATAGGCCCGCAAAAAGAGACATTGTGTCAAATTGAAGACCAGAAATGGAAAGAGCACTTCGATATTAGTAAGGAGTCAACGTTTTAGCAAATAACGTTGACTATAGGAGAAATGCCATTGAATATTTACGGAATGGATCATAAGTAGCGTGCGTCCTTCGAATTATGGATGATTCACGACGCGAAGCGGAGTGCAACTCTAGTTATTTTTAATGGTGCTTAGGCAACCACCCGAACTTCCCAAGTGCTTGTATAACATAGCACGCGCGCTCTCTTCATTATAGAAAATCGCATATTTTACAAGGATTTGTATGGGAAAATGTGCTGGATGGCAAAGCTTGCCATTCAGCACATTTTCCCATGCAAATCCTTAAAAGATTTTCGATTTTATATTAAATAGTATTTCTCCTGTGTTACATTTTATAAGCTGAAACTTTGCCTTTCACTGAGTCCCGAGAGGATTAATTCTGGGGTACAAAACAATGGATTTTTTTGGATGAGGAAAGACGTCTTATTTTTTTGTCCCCCAGAACAATTCCGCTCGGGACTCAGTGCAAGAGGTCTATTCCTGGGCGAAGATAATATCTTACACATTCTGGTTGGTTTTGTTGTTTGTTACAGCCACGACGTTCTGCGAGATCCCATCATGAGTTGTGAAGAGGGACATTCGTTTTGTCGATACTGCATTGGACAGTGGTTGAGGAGTGTCGATAGGTGCCCCTTGGATAACAGCTTGATTGAAGACCGGAATTTCTCGCGTAACCTTACTGTTAGAGGCGTCATAGATAACCTAAAAGTTTATTGTCATCCCCAAAGAGAAGATAAAAATCATAATCAGGAGTCAGCTCCAGTCGATGTAGGTAAGTGCATGGAAAAGTGATCTGCTTGTTTCGCCTTCATRAATTCATTTGTTTAGATAACTACTTGTCACTAGAGCATTAGTTCCTCAGCTGGGTCAGCCCATTGTCAGGATATGGAAGGGGGATCCGGATCCCGATTCACGCTCTATTTTGTCCTGAAATCCCGCGTCCCGCGACAGTTTGCCATCGACGACCATATTCAACATATTCAAAGGCGTTAGATTTTTATTTTATTCATTAATGTTCACGTTTTACCCGAAAATAAGAAAGCCAGAATATTGAATCAGGCAATTCCAATCAAGCGAGTATATTTTCATGGATCCCGCGCTATATTTCATTCGTTTCCCGCAAATACCCTTACAGACCCTTGTAGGAGGCACAAATGTAAAAACTGGATCCAAATGTAATAAAGGTCACAAATGTAATAAACTTTGGTCACAAATGTAATAAAGGTCACAAATGTACATGTCCAAAAACCCGAAAGAAATCTTATGTATCAGTTCAAGTAAAAAAATATAATCAAATAGAGTACAAACACTATAAGTGTGTAACATCAATACCACTAAATACTGCTAAATTATGCTATTCCTATTGTTTTCTATCGTTTAATTAGCACTACGTACTACTAAATACTGCAAAGTGTTGCACACTTTTAGTGTTTGTACTCTATATAATAGAGTGCAAGCAATATATCCACGGAATGCAATTTACTAAATAGTATGAGGAGAGTGCTAATTAAACAATAGAAAACAATATAATATAATTTGAAAAGAATTGTACTATTTAGTAAAACTAATTTTTCACGGATATACTGTTTACACTCTAATAAAATAAAAAAATAAGAAAACTTTCAGCTGACTTTAATTAATACTCACATGATCCGAAAGTGGCTTGCATTATCGAAAATAAATTGATCATAAATAACTTAAAATTATGCTAATTCTATTCATAAAGTTACGCTGTTATTGATAATAAAATGGAATTAATGTCGAATAATGTATTTCTATTCTTTGTTCGCTATTTATTTTCATGTTTTTGTGTGTACGTGTGTTTTTTTTCCTTTCATTTGATGTCTCAATGGTTAATTGTCGATCATTAGTTCAGTTTCGGGAGGATCACAAGTTATCACTATTTTTTCAAAAGATATTTTTCCAAACAACTGCAACACAAAACCATGGTTTAATGCCAGTAGTCTGAAAATAATTTTCCCCTTAAAACATCACATTCCGCATTATTCATTCATTCGTTTGTTCGATCGATCGTTTGTTTGTTAAAATTCGGCCTCTAAATGTCAACTGCCGAAGTATTAAAGAGTTTGGTACTGAAGAACTGTTTCAGTTGCAAACTTGATGGAAGAAAGGGCGGATCTAGGGTGGGGTGCAGGGGGTGCGGACCCCTCCCTGAAATGAGCTAACGGTTTTC